ATAAGCTCAAGTTGGTCAGAATTCACCGGAATTGATATATTCACTGCTCAGACTGCTTGTTTCAGCTTCAAAGCTGGCATGTGGAAATTCAGATTCCGTGGGTTGCATCAAGGCGATCTGATCATTGATGTACCCCGGACTGAAGCCTACACCTGATTCTAAGTGGACCTGTACCTTTTTGAGAGGTAAAGTGCACTGCTGAGGTTATCCAATCAATTTTAAGGTAGAGGCAGGGAGGAGGAAGACAAGGGCGGTCAAGCTTTTCTGTTAGGGTTGGATTTGATTCTCATGGAACTATTTATTTTTGAATTGCAAGCTCATTGTTTAACCCAATGCCTAACATTTCATCCTAAAACTCCTAAAGAAACTTCAGCCCCTTGGGGCGATTCCTAACAAGTGGCTGAAATGAGTTTGAAATGAATACAAAAACAAAATGCTCCAGGGCTCTTTTGGATGAAATTCCTAGCATTTCATCTAAGTACCCTAAAAGAAGTTTCAGCCCCTTGGGCAAGCAAATACCAACAAATGGATGATATGAGCGTTGTGTTCTCAGAACAGCTCCTACTTTTCCCCATACCGCCCCGATGGACTTTTTGAAGAGCGGATTTAGATAGGATCACCAAGGACTAACAAAAGAGAAGGAGTGGAGTCATATGAGGACCATTCCCGAAGAAGAATGGGTTAGAATGCTCCGAAATTTGCCCAGGCGCTTGCTTTAGCCATCCTAGGCCGTTTGGTGATAAGTTGCCAACTAGGTACCAACGAGGGAGAAGGAACGGTCGTGTTTGTAATTTTTGAAGAAGAGTGAGAGAAGACTAAGGAAGCCTATTCAAAGGAAAATAATCGTTTTTTCCTCAGATGAAGAAAAATTCGAAGAAAAAGTAGGTGAAATGGACGGAAATAGGTGAAATAACATTTTGATCGGAGGCCGAGGAGAGGATGGTGGAATACGCGGGAGAATGCGGGCGATACTTCTTCACCAAATCACCTTCAGAATTTGAAGGTGCTTGTTTTTCCTGGTTCCAGCTCTCGACCGATGCCAAGTCCTTTACTCCGCCCGGTACCAGCTCCCCATATCAAACACCCCGCCGCTTCTGTTCCATCTCATTTTGCTTTATGTAGACAGAAATACAGAAGAAGAAGAAGAAGAGAAAATTGGAAGTACTCAGTCTCCAGTTTAGACACACAGGTGCTATTGCAATATACGGGGGCACCATCTAGGACCAAGCCTGGTAGGGTAGGTGCTCCGTTGAAAATGAAATTGCTCACACACCTTGGAGTCTCTCCGCCCGCTTAAGGTCCGGTCCCGTTTAGCAAAAAAGACATGTTTTTACGCAGTATTAAATGCATCGCCAAATAATGCACCCGTATATTGTGATAGCGCCGGAAATACTTTTAGACATGATCGATTTCGGTGCCTAACAACACATGACAGCCACGCGGTATCTTCAACCACGAATGTTGCATTTGAGTTTCACCTGACCGATTACAATCTGCAACCGATCTGCACTCCTAAATCTTCAAATCTCAAGGTACCATTTTTCAGCTCTTCTGGCTATTTTAGGTCTCCGACAAACCCTGCAAGGATGATGGTCAGGCGGTCTCGGCCGGCTTAGCGTCCGGAGCAGTCAAAACGTTCCGATCTTCGGTTACGTCAGAAACACGCTACGCCAATTTGGCGCACGCACCAATTTCTAATTACTTCACGATTGATCGTAACTAATCCCCACCCTTCCAGACTTCAACTTGCTCCTTTCTTTCCCTCGTTCTTCAAAGTTAATTAAGGAATGATTTTGAAAGCCTTATGTGAGCGTCATTAGGATAGTACAAGCGACGGTTGTGCAAATGCGAAAAACGCACACAGGTACGAAAAGCGCCAATTCTATTCGTCTAACACCAACTGCAACTCGGGCAATCGAACTGAAATAATCACGAGATAGGACTTTTCACGAAAAGCAGCCCCTGTGCCTTTATCATACCATCATCGGACCCCATTTTAAAGCGTCAAAATGCGATCCAGGAATGGTCTTTAGTAGAATGTAGCTGTTCTTGAAGAAGTACGGTATTTAAAGATCAAAAAAGGCAACCTATCACATTGCTTCCTTCCCAGTACTACTTCATTTATACGGTATTGAAATCACTTCCAAAAGTGCATTAGCTGTTTAACTCCCTTCTTGATAGCGAAGCCCGAATTTTTCCCACCCACTAAGCTGTTTCTATTTTCAGCAGGCAAAACTTCATTCCATTTTTGGAAAATCTTGCTGCAGAACTTCCCCGAATACGCGCACAGCCGCGCCTAATCCACTCAACAACGCCCACACCCTGCAGCGTTGCTGGCTATTGTAAGATGATCGAATTGCAGCCCGGGAAGCTTCAGCGTAAAAGTTCATCGTCCAGCTAACGGCACTGACGTCAGTCGTCGTTCAGTAATGGCGTGAACATGTGGCGAGTCACAACATGACTCGCACAAAAACATCGTCTTGCCCACATGGGTGCGATCGTTTTCACTCAGGAAACAGACAAATTTAATGCCACCGCGAGTGTTTCTGTTGCTGCACTACTGATGTTGCACTTTAAAACAGTACATTTGGAAATCAGAGAACCATGTCACAGCCGTCTGGATAGGATTTCATGGCCAGAAATAGCCATATGAAAGCGGACAAAAAACCTTTAAAAGTCGCGATAGTATCAGGGCTTCCCAAGCAAGACAGGGCGCTATCACAAGATACGGGGCATCGCGGTGACAGACAGTGCAGTTAAAGCTACGTGAAAAATCCCCTTGAGATTGCAAATGGGACCATGCGCTAGGCGGGAAGAAGAGACTCCAGGGTGTGAATATCAATATTGTAAGTCATAATATTAATAATATCAATCAATAAAATAAATAAATA